AGGCTAGCATGAGCTAACATGTTTTACTTTTTGTAATTATATTATTGATTTATTATACATATCAGGACAAATAAAAATACCATATTCATGTAAAAAAGAAAAATACCATATGTAGTTTATGCTGAATTTCATTAATATTTAAGTAAACACCAGGCTAGCATGAGCTAACATGTTTTACTTTTTGTATTAGTAGTATTGATCACATATTTGCATACAAATTAATTTCTGTTGTGAGTGTAAAACAACAGAAATGTATTCTGTAATGTTTRRGCACATTTTCAAAGAGCCACTGCAGAGGGCCCAAAGAGCCACATGTGGCCCCAGAGCCGAAGGTTGCAGACCCCTGGACTAGGACAAAAGAGTGTCCAGGGACTCCAGGGGTGGGATAAATTGTCAAAGTAATCTTTATCGGGTAAATACCACAATTAATCGTGATTAATTTTTTTGCCTAAATTGYCCAACCCTAATAGACATACAAAATAATTGTTTATGCTTGTCAAAGAAGAACACAACACAGTAGTGCTCAGTCCTGGTCCTTGAAGACCACTATCCTGCATGTTTAAGTTGTTCCACTGCTGTTCATCATGACTTCAATATCTTCAGAAGCCTGTTAGTCTCTCATTTTAATCAGATGTGTCAAAACAGAGAAATAACAAAAAAAAAAAGAAAAAAAAAAGAAAAGAAAAAAAGGCAGGATAGTAGCCCTAAAAAAACAGGACAGGGCACCACTGACCTAACAAAACCGAATACATCAAACTGGATGTTATGCTGGTTGTAGCAATATTAAATATAAGAATACATTACATTTGGATGTTTCTTTGCAGCATTTTGCTTACAGTGTTTACCTAAAACATCTTAATGTTAATTTCCAGGTAGCTCTATTAATTTGCCCTCCACCAAATGAAATAGGACATCTACTGCATAACGCCAGGCGTGAACACAAAACTTCAGAGCAAAGGAAAAATATAATTCACCCCAAATTTTAAGACTTGTTTTTTAGTTCTGCACATGTGTTGCTGAGGAGAAGTTATTTTGGTGATGCCTGCAGACCCCCATAGCTGTCACAAAGACACAGWGTGAGAGACTTATCTGTTCTTTGAAGTCATGTCTCCTATTAACTTACACAGAAGTTAGCAAGGTCTTTATATAATAGCCCACTGGCGGTTTCTATTATTTAAATGCTGAAAAAGGTTTAGGCAAGATTAGACACAATTAATAAAGGAGGATGTGGTTAATCCAAATTGAAGACCTACTAGAAAAGATTATAAATGTCAAAAAGGAGGGCCGGTAGCCTCAGAGATGAAAGAAAGGTTTTATCTCTCAGTTGTCTAGACAATACAACTTGCCTCCGGCCATCTGTTAGGACTCGTCAGCTGACAGCAGCCATAATGAATGTCAGTGATAAATGTCCTCTTTACATGCTTCTCTAGTCACTACACTGTCACCAACGCAGCAGAGTTCACCTTTAGACGTCCGGACAGCACTGTCCGGCCTCATCTCCTCGACCTCGGTCACACCGGAGGATATCTGGAAATAATTCATTCACCAGAGTCCTTGTCAGTCCTCAGCACTGCGTAATGTTCAGTGTGCAGAGGAATGTCCTGGTGAGTCAGAGGGATAAAGGCCTGACCTATAATTATTCCCTTGTTGGTCCCTAAAATGGTGGGGTCAGGACTGGACAGCTGGGGCAACATCACACTGAKCCTCTCTGCAGCAGGGATGCTGTCACACAGCAAAATTAGTTCCTTTGTGGTTCTGGTCCCGTCTCGATTGATGGATGGGCAAAAAGAAGGTTATCAGAAGAAAGATTGATGATTTAGCATGCGGTCTACAGTTGTGACAATCTGAATAAATTATTTGGAAGCGGCGCTCGCCAGTGTAAATGTTAAAGATTTATTTATGTCGTGTCACCAGAGGGGTTCGGCTTGGTTGGTTTCATCATTTAAAAAAAAATCTGTTAGAGAAGTCCACAGGGATTGCAGTCATGGGAACAAAAAGATGCACTGGTGAGGAATAGGTAACGTTTTAATCAAAATTAGGCCTGACAGAGCACAGGTGCTTTATGTCACCCAAAAGGACTGAAAACCCATGAACACATAACAWACCCTTCAGCCAAATCAGCTCTYATTTCAGTTTCATTTGGTTACAAAAACAAGTATTCCAGGTCTCATTAGTGCTCAKTTTTCTACTTTTCATTCTTATCTCAAGTCTAGAGCGAGGGAGATTCTCTAAAGACATGACCATCCAATCCTGGATTCCTTTGAAGCCATTTGACCGCTATCCTTGACTTTAAAAGCACAACACTTACTGGCACTGGATGTCAAATTAAACCTCCGTAATGATAACTTCCCTCCCACAGTCTCATGGGAAATTTCTTCTGGATTACATTGTGAGAAAAGGCTTTGAACTTGACATTGAACTTAAGCAGACTCGTTGCTTAAAGTTTGGATGTCTTTCACAGCTTCATTGCTTTTATAGAGTGAGCAGGGAACATCCAGATCCTAAGCCCAGTTTCAGGTCATGGACTACAAGTAACTTGGTGAATTATTATGCACTCAGGTTTGGCTTAACCTAATGTTGCAGTTCTTTTGTTTTAGGCAGCTCTTCAATCTTTGCAGTATTAGCTCATGACTATATTAGCACAGACAGCATTTTTTAAATTTATTATTTTATTTAAGAGTTTTATTTTGATTCTATTCCTAACTAAAACAACCCCAAGTTGGTGATTAATTTATTAATTTATACATAATTATTATTAAATATTATTATCTGTGCATAATCCATAATCAAAGGTGTTTTAAAATGGTTGGTTTTGAGCAAAGACCCTCCACATTCCACACTGTGTGCATCACACATCTCTTTATATGTTTTGGTTATTTATAGCTGTTGGACTCATGGTTGTTGGTTTAACAATGTAATCCCTTTCCTTTCTTGGTGTCGGGTTTGCTATATATTTTATAGTTCAAAATTTTTGAAGTGGAAAGCTTATTTAAAATATTGTAGATGGCTCTTTGAAGGACCTCAGTTTGGAAGAAAATATGTTTATTCCTGACTCTGCTGAAGAACGAACAGCTAGTCTGAACAAGAAAGTGGATTTTTGCCATTTGCCACCATGTGGGTCATTTTGACCCAAGGGCAGCAGAAAGGCCAAACAACTTCAACCAAAGAAATGTCATAATAATTCATATGAATGCTTGTTAAGTTCAAATATTTTTACGGTTATTTCAGGTGCAAAAAGCAGCAGTTGCGGTCCTACAGAAGCTGTAGCACTTCTAGACAGGGACACCTCCTAATGGAAAATGATATTTTTCAAATAAAGCAAAACTGACAAATGTAAAAAAACATTCCCATTACTTGCTGTAGTTCTTTTTTTTCTTTTTTTTGTTTTTAGACAGGAGTTATTTTAGGGTGAGATCAATCCCCTTTGGTACCAACTTTAAAAGAACTGAATTATCATTAAGGTACTTGGAGTGTCTAGCAAAGCACAAGTATGTTCTACAGAGAATACTAAAGTGTTTCACCTAAAGGAATACAGGAAATGACCACTTGTACATGTAATTTTACCTCTTCTTGTCCTTTACATTAAAGCTTTATGGATTCACGACACTATCAGGACCAAATGTTTGAGGGCAAAGGTGCCACCTGCACAGCAATTAGAGGACATTTTCTGCAGTCTACACAAGAGTGCTTACATCAGTACTTGTCTTGCTGACCTCAAGAAGATTTGTTTAGAGATCAAACAAATTCTCAGAGAAGCAGAGGTTACCGTGCTCTTCAAAAACTGACCAGAGGTGTACCACAGCCTTGGTATAGTGACCCCACTTCTCCTCCTGGGTTATAAACACAGACTTTAAGTCAGTCTTTCGCATTACCCTAATCAATCAGTAAAAGTCAGGCCTTAAGCAAAGCGGCACAAGGGTATATCGTGACTGGAGAGCAGAGGGTCAAATTTACTTGTTCGTTTGATGGATTGATTGTTGCAAATGCATTTTCAACAGTGTTTTGTGATGACTAATGATGTTTTTCCTTCTCTTTCACAGAATAATGGATCCTTGGTATGGTGCCAGAATCACAAGCAGTGCTCCAAGGTAATGCGCTTTCATTTTTTTCATGAATGAGATGCATGCCACGCACATGCCTCATTATCAGAGAATAATACGAGGGAAAAAAAACCGTTCCAGTCACGACAGGACCTGTCTTGTCATGGCTCTGCCGCAGACATCCCTGAACTGTTGATGCAGACTGTCATGAGAAAATATCCTTTTATCATCAGCTAGTGTTTATTACTTTTGTTAATACTCCCTTGCTCCTGTAATTGGAATAGGGTTTAAAAAGTACATCTTCGGCGGACTAATGCTTGTGTGTGAAAGCAGAGCATGATTGTTTTTTTTTCTTTTCTGCTGTCATTTAGAATCTCAGTCATCAGCGTGCATCCCGCAGGGCTTGTTTGTGTTTTCTGCCCTGTCTCAAAGAGGGCTGATACAAAGCTAGTGTTGACAACCCCTCTGAAAAGATAGTGCTGACATACTACATCAGACTCTCCTGGAGCTGCTGACAAGGCCCTCGGAAATACGCCATAAAGACCGTCGGCTTTAAGCACGGCACATCTAAAATAGGAGGAAGGATGCACTTGCAGAGTGCGGTCCAAGCATTAATCTCTGCATGGCTTTCTATAGCTGTCAGAGGTCCTCATCTCCTTATGCCAGCAGCAAAACCAGGATTCATCACTTTTACATAAAGATCCTCAAGAGAACACGTCTCCCTTTCATGAAACTGTGTATCTGTTTCTACTCTCCTCTGGCTTTCCCCTAAAGCAGTAGAAACTTATCAAAATAGCACATAGGAAGAATGTTTTCGTAAAGGGATGACAAATCGCATGTGGTTCCTCTGTGTGTTTATCAGCCCCTATATCCACAGACATAAGTCACCGAGGAATGCACAGTGAGAATTTTTGCAAACTGATTGTTATTAATTGGAAAGTCATTGAAAAACAGAGTGACTGCAGTTTTTTTTAAAGCCCACTTAACATGGCTTTTTGTGCTGCTAATATTAATCACAATCAGTGTCTGGTATCAGCTGCCTGTGCGCAGTTTCTCAATTCCTTTTTTGAATTTCAAATGCTTTCCTAAAAAAAAAAAGCATCTGGCTTGGCTGCAGCATAACTATTGTGGTTCGGGCTACAAGTATAAATGCATGTTACTTATCTTATCCTACTTACAACATGATATACTGTTGCTTTGGTTTACATAGATCACCCTTTCAGGAGAAATAGCCACCCATAAAAAGTAATATCTTAGTTTATTTATGTGAGATTCTGTGCCAACGTTATGCATATGAACTACCTCCTTTGTATGTCGGCCGCTGCTGAAAGCGTCCAGCCGTCTACATTTTTTACCCGCTTTTCCTCGCAGGAAAGCTGGTGCCTGTTTCCAGCAGTCATTGTGCAGGAGGCAGGGTTCACCCTTGACGGTTTGCAAATCACTGCCAAAAGGGAAAGGAGGGACTGTCAATCATAAAATAAAAAAATAGGTGCCAACAGATCATGTCAGATTATGTGAGTTATTGCATGGAATTAGGTTTTATTCAGTGTTCGGCTAAAACGACCATAACTCCATTTTTGAACATAAGATGATCTTATCCAGAAATCTGGCTTGAAAGGCAACGGGTGACATGCATTCCTTCTAGGAATCTTTTTCAGTACATTTCTTCTCTTTTTCACTATGATAACAAAAGTCAGTCATTCCACTCTCATGTTTAAAAAGTGGATTTGCAGACTTCAGGTTTAAGAAAAACACAGATTTCATAAGCAACTATGAAATGCCTCAAACATCCAGAAACTTTTTAATGAACTTCTTTTTCTCCTGGCTATAACAAACCTGCCTGTTAGCACTTCTTTATCCCCCATACAGGCTTTAAAAACACGAGGCTGGAATTGATGTGAGCCCTTAAAAATAATGACATGTTTGTGTTGCGGCTCTATAGCGCTGACACTCCACTGCGCTGCCAGTTCAGTTTCGAGGGCTCTCCAAATTTAATTAATTTAATTGAATCCGAGGTTTTGGTTCAGCTGTTCGGGATTGCAGGGGCAGGGCTTGGTGCTTAGGTTCAATTTGTAGAAAGAAGTCAATGTTTTGGGAGCAAACATCACCACACTTTCAATTCCACATCAATGGTTCGAGTGCACACTCAGGGCTTGTATCAAAACAGATCTATTGTGGCCACTCGAACAATTCTGCTAAATGGGCCCACGCTATATACAGTGTGTCCCTGTGAATAGCTCTGCAGCCGCTGATTAGCCTCTTGACTTCATGAACGGCACACGGTCAAACAGAGARACAAAGACATGGCTCTGGGGTGGCTGTTTGAGGGCAGGTCTGTCCATTAGGGAACTCTGTTAAGGAGCTTTTGAGAAAGTAAAAGTTAAGAGCACCTGTTTGATAGTTGCTAAAGATGCTGTGATCCTGTACATAAAATCCAGTTCGCCATTTGCGATCAGTAAATGTGGTCATTTCGTATGCTGTGTCCCGACTTGTCCCCCGCCTTCAGCTTCCCTATTGTCATGATAATTAAACTGCTTACCCTCGCTCTCTTCTGAATGGACTGAGGTGGCATTTGGAGGGGTGGGGGGTCATTATAATGCCATACCACAGGAGCAGCGGACAAACTGTGTTCAGCAGGGGATCAACAGGGTAGCGGGCATTTTCACAAGCTACAAACTGTTACCATTTTGTCTCCTTAATCATCAAACCTGGAGAAGTTCTGATATACTTCTTGAAAAGTTATAAAAACTACCCCCGGTGTTTGTCGTCCACCCCCCCGCCTCCAGTGGACCAAAGTAAATAGATTTTGTGTGCGTGTGCATGAGTTTATGCAAAAGCAGACATTTCCAGAGCATAGCTGACCGTATTTCCCTCTGGGAATAATAAAGTCATCTATCTATCTGTAGTTACAGGGGTCGTCCCCCACTACCCCCCCCGCAGCGGGTGTGATCCAGGCTCCACATCAAATGCCAGCATTGACTCAAGGCACCAAAATGCTAGTGTGCAACACAGTGGCATGCTTCATTGCTCAAACGTCTCTCAGGGAAGGACTAGGAGAAAGGACATTGTGTCTGGATAAGTTAACCACAGGAAAGAGGCTATCACTTTTTTATTGTTTGAGGAGTTACAGGCTTTTCTTGCAAGAACAGTGACTACCCTGAACATGATTTATATTTTCCTTTCATATACACAGCTGATTTAAAGTGATCAACGATATGGCAGCTTTTTAGATCTTTTTAACGTTTTGCAAAATGAGATGTTTTAGAATGTTTTGAAGAGCGACACTGTCTGAGTTGTTGTTTGAAGGCAAATGAGTYAGACACATCTTTCACTGATGTGTCCGGTGACTCTTCTAATGGTTCTTTCCCATCCATTGCACCACAACATTCAAATTCCATCACACAAATAAGTGTTTACTCTTTTGATTACGTGTGGCTTCGTTTTTCATGTTTAGAATGTTTCTTTTCTTTTTTCTTATTGAGTAACAATCACTGGAATGCTACTATGTCACATTCAAAAGTGTTTTTTAAAGCCCACTGTCAAATCCCACCCCCCTCTCGACCAACCCCCACATTTTCTCACGCCAAAATAAAATGGGCAACCTTCCTCCTCAGTTGTTCTGTCTGTTTTCAGGGCCGGTTGAATCAGAAGCTTGTTTGCTGAGGATTGGAAACTTTCACTTAAAGGTTTTATAATAACTCAGCGGGGAGTTTTCTTTCCTTTTTTTAAGGCGCTTGTGTGTTTATCCCTTCTTTGTTAGTATAGTTTAATTTTAATTTGGGTTTGGATGTTAAGACAGCCTTAAGCAAAACATACGCTTACACAAAGTTTAATTAACACTTTCAATACAGATGGCATAATCTAATTGTTTTGATTTAAACCTAATATTACTACAGAAAATACTGCATATTGCTATAACAATATCTTAGTAGTAACAGTTGCTAACAACCTTTTTAATGGTTTTGTTTTTAAAACAATGTTTACAAAAGTGGAGGACTTGAACAAAAATGTGGATATTTTAATTTAATGTTATAATTTTAAAGCAGGGTTGGGCAACTTAAGTGATGGAAGGGGCCACATCCATCATTTACCAGAGGGCCACAAAGTGCTGCATACTCACCCAAATATATATAT